ATATGTGACATAGACAATAAATAACAGAGATCAAAATATTGATCCTGCAGGTTTAGTTAATTGGATCAGTGTTTCACCTTTTCAGGCCAACAGAAAACTCATAAAATTAAACAATCAAAGAAGACAACATCGTTGTTGAGCTGCTCTTGACTGTGAGTAGGTGTAACTGAAGGGTCTGAAGCAGTAAATGATGGAAGAAAGACGGCAAAGCCAATAGAATCACTTTCTAATCAAGAAAAACACAAAAATTAAACCATTTCCTGAAATCTCCAGGTGAAAATGACCCTTTTAGGTAAAACCTTCGGATTTGGGGCAATAATTTTTTTATGTATTGTAGTTTGTAGGTGATTAGGAAAGTGTAAAAGTGGAGGATGCTGTCAGCACAAAGAAACAACCCAGCTCAGACTATACAAGTCAAAATAAATGAAAACAGTTTGCACAACTCTTCTCCTACTTGATAGCGTGTGTCTATTTGATTCGGACTACGTAACCCCTGTCAATTGTTTAATCTCTGCAAACAACACAGCTTGATATTTGGTTCATGTGATTTGTTGTAACATGAATTCAAAAAAGAAGAAGAAAAGAACCTTGTATGGTTTTGTTTAGGCTTGTGAACAGCTGACTTTAACTTTCACCACACATGGAATCCACTATCAGCACCCACCGTCGCTTTGTGACTTACATAGAACACTCAACTGAAAAAAAAAAACCTTCCAGTGCTTAGAATCAAGACAGCGATTATGTTTCTAATTGTATTTCTAACTGAAAAAGATGCTGCAATGCTTTTAAGCATAAATCAGAAATGTGAAGCGATGCAAATTTTAAAATATTGTCACTGAATGAAACAAGAAACAGTCCTGATCTCTTACCTGCAGAAGTTGTAATATCACAGTGCTTCAGTCTCAGTGGTCAGAGGCAGAGTCGCATCTTCTGAAGTCTCGCTGTTAATTCAAGTGGTTTTATTGCTAAAAACGTCATGTGTGTTGTCCCTCTGCAACACACACACACACACACACACACACACACACACACACACACACACACACACACACACACACACACACACACACTTCCTCTCTCTTTTTGTCATGTGTCTGGCTTTGTCTTCCGTTCTGCACGACTGCTTCTCCTTTTTTCGCTGCCTCACAAACACAGAGATGCATAAACACACGCAGTGGATGACCGACATGTTATCAGACTTTTGGAGCTATTCATTTCCTTTTGGTTTCCTCGGCCAATCGGGATTTCTCAAAAGCAGGGCCGATGACCTTGTGTTGTTTCAGCAAAAAACGTTATAGTTCCTCAAGAGAAACTCGTCCAAGTAAAGTGCTGCGTTCAAGCTGGGCTGAAGGAGTTTGTCCTTCATGGAGTTTTCACTGATTTCCACAAAAAGATGAACCTGGAGACTTATATTTAACCTCAGCTTCACTTTATGCTTCTACAAACTGTTAATTCCACGAAACATCTTTGGCTCAGAATAGGCTTCCAGTTATAGAAAGTAGAAACAAAACTGAAAGAGACCACAAATATGTGGCTGAGCTGCTGATGCAAGTCATTTCTCTAAAGTAAAAATCAAAAACACACATAGAAATGGTAAAAGTGAAAACGTTTGCCCTGTAAACATCGAAACCGAGCTAATGTGACAATTTCGCTATGAAACTGTGTCTATGATGCCAATGAGGTGCTGGGAACAGGCGCCAGGAGAAGAGTATGCAGGAACCAAGTCTTTAGTGGCTTACCAACAATCACAAGACACTGATGCAAAGCAATAAAAACATAAATAAATAAAGCCTGTGAATGTATGTTTAGAAAAAGACATCTGACTTTTTAAGCTTTGGCAAAAAAATAAATAATAATAAAAAAAAATCAGCCATAAATTCTTAGTTAGATTGAGGTCTGTGCTCCGACTCCTCCACTCCAGAACATCCACCTTGTTGTCTTTACACTGTTTCTGTGTTTTGGCTGAATGCTTCAGGTCATCGTCTTGCTGGAAAACAAATCTTCTCCCAAGTCATGCTTCTCTTACAGACTACATTAGGTTTCACTTTGCTGCTTTCGTTTTACCCTCTACATTTACAAGCCTTCTGGGCCAAGAAGCATAATAATAATAATTGATCAGATTTATATAGCGCTTTTCTAACTCAAAGAAGCATACACTGTCAATTATTCATTCACACACATTCATTCCGGTGGTGGTAGCTACGATTGTAGCCACAGCTGCCCTGCGGCAGACTGACAGAGGCGTGGCTTCCATTCTGTGCCGACAGCCCCTCTGACCACCACCTCAAACTATCCATTCATACACATTCACACCAGGCAAGGTGAAGGACACAATGACCATGAGACAAGTTAAAGGGTGGAATCAAACCACCAGCCTTCCGATCATTGACCAACTTGCTCTACCACCTGAGCCACAGCCGTCCCTAAACCATCCCAACACCATGATGCTGCCACCACCATGCCTCACAGTAGAGATGGTGGGTTTGTGACGCGGTGCAGTGTTTGGTGTCCAACAAGAACAGCGTCTTGTCTCATGGCTAAAAAGCTTAATTTTCAAACCAAAGAATCTTCTTTTAGTTGACTACAGAGTCTCTCACATGCCTACTGATGAATTCTAGTCTAGATTTATTCTGTTTTTTTCGGTGAAGAACATTCAACAGTTGTATGCACAGTTTCTCTCATGTCAGCCACTAAAGCTTGTTGCTCTTTTGGAGCGTTTGGAGGACTCATAGGTGTCTGGTGGCTTCCCTCACAAGTTTTTCTTGCATGGTAACTCAGTTGTTGAAGATTGTCCTGCTCTAGGCAGAGTTACACATGAGCCATATTCCTTCAACTTCCTAATGATGGATTTTTTTTCTTGGCTATCCA